ATAACTCTGGAGGTAAAAAATATGTAAATGTATTCTTCGACGATTGCTTAAACCAAGTTATTGAATATAACCATAAGAGACTTATGCCCATAATTAAGTTAATACTATTTTGTACTCAAATAAATTTACCACTAAGAGAATATAGAGAATCAGTGACTTTAAAATGTGCTGATGTACGAAAAGAATGTTAATCAGGTAAACAGGGTCTTTTACGTGCATTACTATCTTTCCGTATTGAATCTGGGGATAAAACGCTTGAGTTAAATTTTAACACTGCAACTAAAAATTGCACAATGGTAAAGTCCTACCATTCAAAATGAGATCATTGAATCAATTGGTGATATAATAAAAAATAAAGTAGTTAATAGAGTTCGTACATCTAAATATTTCTCAATATTATGTGGTGAAACAATTGATACAATTACTATAGAACAAATTACCTGTATTCGTTATATAGATAGTTCCACTTTTACTAGTAGAGAAGACTTCTTAGGTTTTGTAGAAATGGCTTCAACTGCGGGAACTGCAATTAAAGATGCAATAAAAACTAAAATAGAAAAAGTTGGTCTAAGTTTTGATTTCCTCATAGGTCAGGGATATGATGGTGACTCAAATATCTCGGGAAAAAATAATGGCATTCAAGCGCTTATACTACAATAACAGTCATTAGATTTTTATACTCATTGTTTTAGTCACTCGCTTAATCTTTGTCTTTCTAAAGCATGCGAAGTTGCTTCAATTACAAATATGACTAGTATAGTTGATGCCGTATCTTCATTTTTTTTCTTGCTCAGCTAAGTGTACAGATAAATTGAAATATTTTATCGATACTGGTTTATCTAATGAATGTAGTACAACTAATAAGAACACTAAATTAAAAAACTTTGCGAAACTCTGGGTTGATCAACATGATTCTCTTTATCATTTAAAGAACTCAATATTTACACTATTGCTACTCTTGAAGACCTTGAATATCATCATTCAAATCCAGAGACATCAAGTAAAGCATCATTATATGTGAGTGCAATAACAATAAATTACTTTCTTGTTTCCCTTGAAGTGGCTGTAACTTGCTTTTTTTATACATTACAACTAAGTTAAGTCTTATAAAGCAAACAACAAGATTTGTGTAAAGCATTGGCAAATGTTACAGCAGTAAAACAAGCTTTAGAAACCAAACGTAAAAATGCAGATTAAATGAAATAATGAATAGCGTCACTGAATTAGCTTTAAAAGTTGGTGTAGAAATAACCATGCCTAGAACATGTGGGAGACAAACTAAAAGAGTTAATGTGAATGCTAAGGAGTATTATAAAATATTAATTTTTATACTATTTCTTGATAACTAATTTGAATGTTAAATTGATCAAATGTTAACTTAAATGCTAAGTATCCTGAAGAGTATTATAAAATATCAATTTTTATACCATTTTTTGATAACTTAATAAATGAGTTACATTTTAGATTTGATAAGAGACATCAACAAATTATGCTACTAGAAGGATTAATACTAATTAATTTTGAACACTATGACGAGGCACTTATTTTAGCGACTGCTGCTGATTATGAAAATGATTTTCCAGTTAGCATGATGTCATGTTTAAAAGCAGAAATATTTATTATGAAAAAACAGTAGGAATCAGAAACAAATCTTCCAGAGTCTGCTGTTGAAGCACAACAACATTGTACTAAGCTCTTGCAAAACGTAAAGAAATTTTTACAATCGTTAGCTACATTGCCTGTAACGTCAGCTACGTCTGAGCGTACATTTTCAGTCTTGAAACGACTTAAAACTTATTTAAGAGCGACTATGATTGTGCGGCAACCGTTATCGAAACGTCTGTCGCCGACCGCGCCTTTATCCCTCTCATCAACCATCAGACCGCTGCACGCAGCGCCACTGCGACATCCCGTCCTAACCTAATCAGCGATATAAATAAATATCTATTAAAATTTAATAGTAACCACGAAATTCTGCATAAAAACCGATTGCTATATAAATTATAATGCGAATATTAACATAACCAAACAAGGTAAGTAGTAATACCATGATTACCCCCCCCCCAAAAAAAAAAAAAAAAAAAAAACAGGAAAAATATATCAAAGCACCTAAAATATACATGTATTTTATGTGAAACGCATCATCGCGCCATCGTGATCAGATTTGACGGATTTACGGAGCTGATTGAGAAAATAAATTATATATATATATCGTTTGTTTGCTACAACGACATAACACAAAAATCGTCATTTTTGAGGTGTTTGCAAATAATAATACTCGTAATTTTAATTTTTTTCTTTATACTGCAAGAACGAGATAAGTGAATATACAAAAATTAGCCGCTAGATGGCAGTTGTGACGTTATTGCGTTGCCATCATATCATTGCAAATAACATTTTCAAATGCGTTTTGTGTAAAATCATGTTTTCGTGTTATGTCATTATTGTAGCAAACAAGCGATATGTAATGGAAATGTAATCTAATGAAGCTTACTGTATATTTTAATTTTTAATACCTCCTCAATAAATAAGTATAACGAAAAATCAAATAAATAATGAGCAACGTAATTCAGTTTTCCAAACAAAACGCACAGTGTTCAAATCTATTATCTATAGTATAGATTCCATACTTTAATTATTTTAAATAGGTATCTCGTAATAACAGTAGGGTCCCTGCGGCAATGAATAATATTCCACAAATTATGTTGTTATACTTTGTAATATTATTTCCATAATTCGTATAACTTGTACGTCAATAAAGTTGAGGCCCTCAATAAGTGACTATAATCAATAATAGCAACATTACAGACAACAAAACCATAAACAGGCAACGAATAACTCTATTGGCTGGATATATTTTGAAACGGACTTTATTCAATTTTTAACTTTTGCTTTTGGAGGCCCTTTAGAACCAGAGGCCGTGTGCATTGCACACCTTGCACCCCTAATTGTTGCGGCACTGCCACTGCCATAACTATAAAATGAAACACCCTCGTAAACGTTGTTACATGTACTGGACGATGCCGACATAATAATTCAATTATCAGTAACGTATGTAATCGTATAACATGTATGCCAATTGATGATTTTTTAAATTCAGAATTTTGGATAAATAAATCAATAAGATAAACTTTGATGGCCCATAATGCAAAAAAAATAAATATATATATATATACGATGAATTGCACGCGCGGTGAACTGTAAATGCGGTGAAATGTTGACGGCGAATTAATTGCGGTGAAATATCCAGATACCGTATATTTGTATCCACTTCGTGTGAATTTAATGATGAAATTATGAAAATAGAGTGTTTAAATAAATATAAATATAAATATTTAAATAAAAAATTTCATATGAAGAAATTATCGATACATTTGCCAGTCATAAAGCGAGAAAAGCAAATTTTCAAAGTTTAAAATTAACACTGTAATAATAACTTATAAGTATAAATTGTATACTTAAAAATATTAGTAAAATCAAAGGTTAAAAAAAATATCACGACATCAAATTTTAATTGGTTAGATAGGTAACTTTTTCTAAGTTTGTCAGAGGCGCTACCCAATCTTCCTACGCCACTGTTTATATTTAGTCTAATTAAAGTAATTATTATTAAAGTATAATTATACATATATATATATATATACAATTATTATTATTTTAACACATTTTTTAATAAAATACATTGAACACGATATTATTATTATATGGTTATAATTTATTTAAAAATAATCCTAAAAAAAGCTAAAAAAAAACGTAAGGGTTTGACGGATAAAAAAGTTTAAGAGACGCTGGTATAGATAGTACAAAAAACACGCGCAGATATTTATATGTATAAATGATAATCGATTTCCTTTGGTCACGCTAACACGCGTGAACGACTATATCGATTTCGCTAACTCTTATATTAATATCTTATTTTTATAACAACGAATTGATAAATTTATTTATTATTTTTGTATTGATTTTTCTCACTCTCTCCCTTATTCACTAATAATTTCATGAGCCCCAATACTTATGAAAGAAGTTTTACTTCCCCAGAGTGTAATGGTGGGAACACACACTCGTTTTTTATTATTTTAATTATTTATCTAAGTACTCGTGCTAATTTTGTTAAACAGTCGTTTAAGGCGGGTGGTATTTTCGGTATTCAAGTATTGTTAATTTTTTATTTATATTTTATATACGAACATTAAATATATAATACAGTTTGCAAAGAAACAATATAGTATAATATGTTCCAACATAATAGTATGTTATTTTAAAATTATTTAAAATATATAAATATATATTTGTTATTTTAATCTTAGATTATAAAACAATATAAATATACATAATAAAAATGTATATAAATTCCAAATTTATTATTATAGAAGTTAATGATGAATCAATCAGTGGATAAAGTGAGAAAATAATTAAACCACTGTTTTCAATAAAAATGGAAAAAAAAATTGGGATTACAATCAAATTTGATAATAAACAAGTTTAGTGATCAAACAAAATAACAATAGTATGTTAAATTATAGTTTCAACGAATAATCAATATTCTCAGATCATTATTTTGGATTTGTGTTGCATAAAAACATTGGTGTTAGTTTTAAAATCAAGCTAAATACAAGCTAATTGCTCATTTTAATTTAAATAATCTCATTATTTATTTATAAAATATCCAAAATATTAAAAAAAAAAAAACATCACATCACTTTTAAATTATTAGTTATTTACTTAATTTTAACAGAACATTGTAACTCCACAACTCTTTATTCTATAGCATAAAAACATTTTTTAGTAAAAATTAATAAAATATATAAAGTACATTATTAAATATTGTAGTTAATAAATGCAATAAAATAATAGAACTTTAGTTGTTGAATTACACAATGAAGAAAACTAATTTAATTTTTTTTTTTTTTGTACTTGTGAAATATCACTTAAAATTTAAATCTTAAAACTATTTACATCTAAAAATAATATCAGTTCAAGTTTAAGTCACCAAATATTTCTATACAAATATTGTACTAATAATTGTTAAACTTAAATAACAAATATATTAACAATACATTACAATTATTTTATCGGAGATCTAACAAGTATCATTTCCATTTGTTGGGGGTTTTAAAATGTAATGTTCATTTTCAAAGTCATTGCTAATCATTAGTTCTTTAAAAATTTCTTTGGCATTTTGCTTTTTAGATATAACAATATATCTATTTTCGTGATGTCCATAACTTTTGGTCTTCAAACCATACTTTATGCAATGCCTAAAAAGATGAAAATAAATCAATCATATACAAACAAAGAAAACAAAAAGATTTTAGACTTTACGTGTGAATCATTGTACGCTCCTCTTTAGAAAATTCAGTTGAAAATGCTAGTTTTCTTTTTGAACTCTCCAAAAATTTCGTCACGTATATTCTAATTTCTTTTTGGAAAGCAATTTTGCGTTTCAAATTGTTAGCAAATGGTTTGGAACCACCCAGTCCCAAATTTTTTGGAAGTTGAACAATTCTGTAAGGTAATAATTTATATTAATACAAATTATACCAAGTCGTTTTAAGAATATTATTTTTAATATGTTTGACTATCATAATATAATATATAATATATATATAATTTTTAACAGTTTAATTTTTATTGGCTTAGTATTACATTATGAGAATATTGAGGAATAATTTATTTTATTATAGACTTTTTAAATAAATTTAAACTTAATGAAATATGTCAAACATATCATTAGACCTCATTTTGAATAAATGTATATTACTCTATAGGATTTAAACGCCCTTGACCATTCTTCCCTAAACCACTACCTTGCTGCCAACCCATCATTTTTAAAATTTTATTGCCAATATTATCTTCTGACAATTTTGCTTCATTTGTGGAATCACCAACAGTAGTATCTAGAGATTTTGAATCATTATCATTTATAATAGAACTTTTAGAAATAAGTTCTAATTCTTCATCTTCTTTTTCCTATAGAAAAATATTTTATAATATAAATACATAAAATAAGTAAATTTAGTATTAGATATTTTTATTTTATTACCTGAACAATAAAACACTTTTCTTTGAGAATATTAAATGCAGCTTTTGATGCTTCCTTTCTAGCTATTTTAAAAGATGGTCCAGAACCAGAAGCAATTAATTTTTTTTTTATGAACAAATTACTTTGGCTAGAAATAAATAATAATAAATTACTATTCACATAAAAATAATAAATAAAATAATCTTGAGCAATATATTAAACATAAGATACTCCCAACAGAAGTAAGATTGGTTTTCATTTTACAATAAACATATTACCTTATTGCTTATAGATTACTTATAGATATATTTTAAATATGAATATATGAATTCACAAATAATAAAATTAAAATATTATTCTATTATTAAATTATTCTATATTATAATTAAAGATACAACTATTACTTTTAAAAAATAAAAAATTAAGTAACATTAATATTTTTATTTAGATACTTAATCAAAAAAACTTGTACATTTAAGATTTAAAAAAAAAAATTTAAAATCATGTAAAGAAATAAACACTGATAATTGAATGAACTCTTGTTACTTTTAGTAAATTTGAAAGATTTTCATGAAAAATATATATATATATATATATATATATATATATTTAAAGATTTTCAAAGAAATATTCAATACAATTTATTTGTAAATGATAACAATATCTGTATGTATGTATGTATGTATGTATGTATATAAGATAAGATAATTTAATTTTGAATTGACAGACAAGTATCCATTATAATCATTTAACAATATTGATTCATTAAGATTGGATAAATACTTATATATTGATAATCAAATTGAAAATTTGCTTCTAACACCCAAATACTTCAGTATCTTACATTTAAATAAATCACTTTCTACACAGTTATTAATTACATTAGTGATGGATCTAAACTTCGATTGAATTTGAATGATGGTTTTGATATACCGCAAAAAGTACACGATCGATCAATAATATCATAAGGTTCTTCATTATCTTTTCGAAATAATAATATAAAACCAGGCAAAATATAATCGGAATCATAAGGTGTGGATTGAATTTTTTTTACATTTGATTGACTATTGTTTATCATCTGTATTGCAGTCTGAGTATTTCCTGTAATTTATAATGTACACTCTTAAATTTATACATGGATACAAATTAATTGTTTATTCGTTATAGGATAGTTAATTTAATTAATACTAAACAAATTTAAAATACAGAAACGCATACCCTTAGCTTTTGCTTCAGCAACAGTTGAAGCTGCTACAAATGTTTTTTGTAACTTTAATTTACGTTTTTCTCTGAAGTCATCGGCCAAACCTTTAGATAGTTTTTCGATTAAGTCCATAGTTTGTTTTGGATAACTTTAAAAATATAAAAATATAAAACGTTTTCAACAAATTACTTTATTCAATAAATTGAAATATTCATGATCTCACCTGCAACCCAAAAATTCCACATTGAAAAAAATTTGAGCCAAACTCACTAATCGATTTTCAGGATACTTCATTTTGTGAGTGATTAAAAATTTTTGCCTCAATTGCCAATGTTCTTCGGTTTCATGTTCACTCTTGTATTGCTCGATATCCCAGGAAGTGTCGAAACTCATTTTGATTCTGGACACCTCACTGGAAACCTATAAATAGTCTGAATTATAATAATTACCAAGTAAAAATATAATATATTGTCAATGTGTACTTGTTTAAAAAGAAAATCTTTGTAGAACGCTAATCAATTTAAAACTTCTCGATTGTCTAAAAAATAAAAATATATTAAAAATATTTTTCTATAGATTTTATTAAAATAATGATTATAAATGTATTATAAATTAATGATTTGAGTACTGAATGCAACAGTTTAATACCTAAAAAAACAATTAAAACATGATTAAAAGACAATCGAGTTTTTGCAAATCAATGGAAACAATAATACAAGAACAATACGTATAGTCGAACAGAAACGATACAATGAAAGGTAAACTGAACGTAGTATGGGTTACCATATATTATTATAAAACGCACATCAGTACATAACGTATTTTTTACAATTAATATGACCATCGTTATATATTTAAACTGGTCATAGTCCAGGTCCTCGATTCATAATGAAAAAAAAAAAAAATTAAAGTGTTTTTTACCTCGACGCGTTGAACACTGGACCGTTCTCGACTCTCAGCTCACTCCCGTCGACACGTACCGACAATAATTGTCACCGGATCGTTGAGAACGTTTGTTACGTTTCTTCTTCGCGGTCGCGACGAGCAGCCAAATTTACGGTGCTGTGTAGCGTCCGACCGACGAATCCTTCGCGTTCCTTCCACGGCCACGGATCGTGCGCGCACGATTGCAAACGGACGCTGATTATCGCGTTCGCTTTACGAACTATTCGGTTTATCTGAACTCTGTTTCGTGTCTCTACTTCGGCCGGCGAAGGGACCAAACATGATAACAAGGCGTGATAACGTGAATCCGCGGGAGCACGGTCTCCGATAACGTAATCAGTTTGTCCGCGCAGACGTTGTCGCGGTCGCCGCACACCGAGTTGTGTTTATTATCGCAGCACGAAAATATTACAGGATTCCACGCCGTTTTTTATTCTCCTGTGTCCTTATAGTCGATTGAGATTAGAGAGTATGCGGTTTTCGAACCGACAGTCGAGACCGATTTTTATTTTCACTCGTTCACACGAACCCGAATCTGCCGTTTTGTCGTGTCGGTCATTCCACCGTATTATGAAGTCAACGGCTGTACAATTTGGGAACGAGTACTATACTTGGACCATATAGAATACGGCCTTTAACAATGTATGATTACGTCGATTTCGTCACTGCAAATCGTTTTCGGTCATACGGTATCGTACCAGATTCGGTCTATCGTAGTCTATCTACGTATTCATTCCGATTCCATTGACCAATCGTGCATCATTCTCCATCTGTCTTTATGCCAGATATCAACATTTTTGAGTTTTAAGTATTTCGATTACAATTCATAAGTACGTAATGGAGCCCAAAACATTTCTTTGTCTCTTAACAGGATGTACCCAGAGCATTTGATTTGAAATCCGTTGCTGTTGACAATACATGCATTACTAGAGTTTTATTATAAATATATTCAAATCCATCTTTACGTATCAAGATGAGCATATGTTACGAATTACGCTGAAAACTGTATAGGTATAGTAGGGTAGTGTATGTTGTAGGGTAAAATAACTGTACCATCTGAACAGTCCAATAAAAAGACATAACGAGTCTAGAAAATATCTGATATGGTAAGAATATCGAATGGTGTGAACAAATTATTATCATATTAATCATGGTTAGACTAAATATACTCCTTAGGTTAAATGATAAATTTTTGTCATTAAAATAAAAAGAGGAAATGTTTGCTGACGAAAAACAAATTAAAACTGTTTTTTTACTTGGGTAGTCCCATGATAAAATTATGATGAAGTTAATATTGACACAGTCACATTCCGGCTACTTCAATAACTGAGCCTCTTTCAAACGATTCAACAGTCGGTGGCTGTTCATTGAACACTCTAATTATCATTATTTTGTAAGAATGATAATTATTTAGATTATATGGTAATAATTAGGTTTAGCTAAATAGACATATTGTAGAATGAACCAAGTTCAAGAGTATGATTCTATTGATAAATGTGAATAAGAAAATGAGTCGTTTGAAGTTGGTTTTATTGAAATATAAATTTTAATGCAGTTGTAAAGAAAGAAAAAGTGATCTGAATGTAGAGTAAACGTTACTTAGGTATTCTAATGTAATATATAATAAAAATAAACCTATTTTATGAGCGACTATCATTAAGTGAAAACACTCCCTATAGGTTCACAAACACCTCAATATATATCTTCAGAAACATCATAGAAACTGAAATTGGAAAAAAAAATTAATGAAAGTTAGGTAAAATTTAATTGTTTAGTAATTAATAAGTATTGATATTATTTATTCAGTTAAGTACTGGAAAATTATGCAATAAAACTGAAACTTGTTCAAAAAACAAATAAGCAAGTTTATAGCATGTACACAGTTATTTGTATGGCACTATACATGTTAACAACGGTTCTCAAACTGTGGTACGCGTACCACTAGTGGTACGCGAAAGGCCGTGATAGAACGGAAATTAAAAATTTGATATTTAACTCTTATATTAATTTAAAAACACAAATACATTTTTATTATAAATAAATAGTAATTTTATTGTAGTATTTTAATGCCTTTATGTTTAAAATAAATGTATTTTATTATGTAAAGTTTATATGGTTCTATTATTAGTGGTACATTACTGATAATATATTCAAGTGGTACGCGAAAAAAAAAGTTTGAGAACCGCTGCATGTTAATATAACTCATATAATTTATGTAAATAAAAGTAATTACAGCTACTTGTGTGTATGGTTATTGCAAATTACATTTAATTAATTTTTGTACTTACTTAAATCCATGTATTAGGTTATTAAATTACTTTTTCCCTTCAGTATTATGTAGTAAATGTCTTCAAAATATATGAATAACAAAGGTTTTTATTTTTTAATTTAAATATACTAATAATTCTTTATATTTAAACTGAATACTAGTATTCATAGATAAGAATATTAAATATATATATATATATATATGCAATGAAATCGCATGAGTATTTGTATTAATTGTATAAATTCTCGCATGAAAATCATAGTTATTAATTGGTACGTATAAGTCTTATATCCCCATTTTCATACAAATCCAAGTATTTTATCATGGATTATCTATGTTATAAAAGTATTCTTGTTCAGTCAATTTTGATATGTACACATAATTATTATATTTTTCATATTTTTGAATAAATAGCTAAAGTTATTAAATAAACAATTTTCTATAACAGTATGAACTAATAAAAACTATTTGAAGTTTAAATATCAAACAAATGACACCAAAATACTTATAAAACAATCTCTCTATGTTTGCTACAAATTTATATTAACTATAGAATAAACTAATTTGTTTAAAATTAATTAATTTAAACAAATTAATTTATCAAAATAAAGGAATTTTAAAATAGGTATTAAATGAAACATTAAACGACTGATAACAAAATTTTTGATTTATTTTACAAACATTATAATTATAAAAATATACACAACATATTTAATTCAAAATATAAAACATAAAATAACCTTATTATGTATTATACATATTAATATGATTTTCATTTGCATATTTGTTAAATATTAATCAATCAATATAACAGTAATAGCATTCTGCAACACAAAATGACTACTAAAATTATTTTAAATCTTTATATTTAAAAAAAATAATTATGTAACATTTTTTATTTTATAAAATGTAATATATTTAAAAAATTGATTTATAAAAAAATGCAATGAAATATTTGTCAATTGGAATGTCAAAATGAATACATTTATTAAGTAGTATCTGTGGCGTAGCCAGGGATGGCAAAGGGGTTGGCTGTATTTTTTTTTTTTTTATTATTGATTTTAAATCGGTAAGTCCATAGATTATAAATGAAAAGTTTATAAGTAAATACTTATTCTAGTAGTTTTCTTATTTAGTGTAGTATAGAAGTCTGATAGATTTAGAAGGATATGAAAACAGAAAAAGAAATACTGACTGATTTTATTAAGAAATCACCTAGGAGGATGAAAGTTGTAGATTGGAGTAATAGCACATAATAATATCTAATATTCAAAATATTCAACTTATATTTATTAATTTGTTGTCAATAAATTATTATAAATAAAAAGTTGTTATATATTTTATTCATTTCAGCAGTATGTATTTAGTATTATATGTGGTCAAATAATAATTAAGTATACAAATTAGGTATCTTTTTTTTTTTTTATAATGAATACAATAGAAATTGAATTTATAAAAGATTTTTTATTGGCCACCTCCTTTTAGAAATCCTGGCTATGCCACTAAATAGTATGTTAGTAATTTCTTAAACATAACTATACAATTAATGTTATATATTGTTATAGTATAGCAACATATTGAATTAATAAATTACATTTCCAAAAACCAGTTTGAATTTAAAATAAACCATACCATAACATTTTCATAAAATCATATTTTAACAATTAAATTATTACTATAAATTAATGTTTTGAGTATAATCATAATCTATAGTTGGAATAACTGACTGAACAAATTTTAAAAATATAATCAAATACATGTGCACTTTTATATGTTTGCCTCCTTTAACCACCATCTTGATTAGCTTTTTCATTACATCTGCATGTCTGTCAATACAAATCAAATTATGTACATTTATTAATCCTATACTTAACAAGAATTATGTTAACAATCAATATAGTTAGTTTTTAAATATTATAAAAATAATGGTATAAAAAAATAAATATTTATATTTATAATACAGAATAGTTATGAAAAGTTCACTGATATTAAAAACCTGCACGGCCCGGGATTTGGGCCAGGTCGAATTCTATAAAATAACAAGACGGGATGGACTTTTCTTAAACTAAAGGCGGGAATACTATCAAATATAAATTATAGACACGTACAATTGAAGCAAGATGAAATTTACTTGTTATTTTTATTATGAAGAAATACTAATTACGGGCCAGGACTGGATTTTCTAAAAATATTACCGAGCCGTATCGGGCTGGGCTTACACACAAAAAAATATTACTGGGCTGGGCTGTCAAAAAGTATTATATAGCCGGATCGAACTATAAATTATCAGTCCATGCAAACCTCTAATAGATATATTATTATATTATAACAATCTATTTTATACTAATATATAATCACCATTGTTATTAAACATACATTATTTTGAAATTCATTTTGAGCAAATTAGTATTTCAGAGTTAAATTTTCATAACTAATAATGAGTTGTAACTTTATTATAAAGAAATTAATATTGAACAAATTTCGAAAAAGTAAGTATTTTTAGTGTTAAAAATATACATACTTGCAGGGATGTATAGAGGCCATCGGTGGACCTGGAATATGAGGATGGGATTCCATGGTAACAGTTTTTTTTGCATAATCTTGGCTCACGTCTTCATACATTTCTTCAACACTTAGAGGTACTCGGTTCTACAAAAAAATAGTAATAATAAGTTTTAGTTGAAAATTAAATAGATTAAAAAGAATTAATAAAATTCAATATGTTAAAATATTTACTTCATTGTATCCATAAAGCCACAACCTAGGAGTTTGGTAGAACTTATCATAGGTAATATGTAAATCATATGTTCTAGTTTTCAATATAGCATCAGAAGATGAACTTAATATTTCTTTTTCCTTTTTTTTTTCTGGATAAACAATTGCCTTAAAAATAATGTAATAATTTAATGTTAAAGATTATTTATAAGACATAATATTTAATACTAATAGTATTAAGCCGATGATTAATTATAATTCTTAAATTATGAGCATTGAAGAAATATTTTAGTATTTATATTAGTTAAATAGTTAATTATATTTAAGAAAATAATTTCAAGAAATATTATTCATAATAAGGGGGGAAAATAAGAGATGTTTGAAAGTAAAAATTAAAAAAATAAAGTAAAGTAATTTTAACATTTCCAAAACAAATTATAATAAATTACATGATAATTGTAATTTTATGTAATAGCAAACATATAAAAATATATTTTTATTGAAACTTTTGCTTTAAAAGTATTAATTTATATTCATTTGATTGTATTATCATAAAAAGTGCTAACATTTTTATTTATATAAGATCACTCTTTCATATTAACATTAAATAATAAATATTAAAACTAAATTATTAATTTGAAGGTATAATTGTTTAAGTAACTAATAAGTCACATATTATGCATAAAGAGCTTAAACATAATCTGTGAAAAAATATACTTTTTCTAATATACCGTTAACATATAAAAGGTAAGCAATACTAAAATTATTATACATTTTATAAGCTATGAACAACAAAATTTACAGATTCATCTTCAAGTAAACCACTCTCTACAAATGCATCCATATCCATAGCTTCACCTTCATCACTATCATCATCATCATCATCAGCTAAATAACTTCTTATATTTTTATTTTCTACAGATGCGTTATTAGAAATTTGATCATCATTACCGACATCGTCCTATAAATATTTACCATATTAAAATATAAAATAATAGGTATTTACTTAATAATAGTAATGAAAACTTATTAATTTATAGATATACTAACATAATCAACATAAGTAAATATAATAAATCTTACTTACTGTAATTAATAAATCAGATATTTCTTCACTCAAAGATAAAGGATCAAAATGATGAGTTTCAACCCATCCTTCATTGCCTCCTTCTGATTCAACAATATTTTCTTGAATTTCACAATTCTCAACCTAAAGAAAAATAATTGAATTAATTAATTATATTAAGACTAATTTAATTAACTACATAAAAATAACATAATATCCATATCTATAATCGTACTAAAACTAATGGCTTACTTGTTTATATCGGCGTAAGCATGGAACATTTTTTGTTATCAAATATTGTTTATTTTTTGGCAAATAAGATTTAATTTTGCAATCGTCACCACAAGCCCATTCCCAAGTCGGACATGAATGTACCAAATGGTCACCAGCAGTTACAAATTCATTCGGTGTAATAACACCCGTTTCTTTGAATCTTGTCTCCTATAAAACAAGTAATGTAATGAGTACATAATATTTCAGAGAGTAGAAATAGTGTGTACAGTACAAGAGTAATATTAATTACTGAACACACATTAAAAATTCTGAAATATAGTAGTGTATAAACAATCAACAGTGTATTTGTTGGTTATTATAACAAGCCTTTCAGTAAACACTAATAAAACCGGATTCACACAAAACAAAACTGTCTGTTCACTAGATTGGACAGGCAAGACATGGTTATCGGATCGATTTCTTTTGCGTAAATTCGTTATTGCTTGATTAGGGCGTGTAAAAATTACCTTCAACACCGGTGTTAAGAATCCAGCGACACCCAACGCAGTGCCTTTGACAGAGTTAATAACGTTTTGCATGATTACAACGGGCACGACAGTCAGTGCGACGCACGCGATACAAAGAGAACAGTAGGCATAGGCAGTGCAATACAGGCGGGCACTTCACGAGGTGGAAACGGTCACGACTGACTGGTTTGGCCGCCGAATAAAACGATATGCGCGCACACGCGATGATGTTCAACTAAATTCGATAATTTATTCCGGATTCTAGAACGAAGAGAGAATGAAGTATAAAAAGTAGAAACTACCTGGGCAAGAAGACGTGGGAATGAAACTCGAATTAATATTCAACATTCCAGCGGAGCAGTTCACTGCTGCGCAGTGGACAGTGGACGGGTCACTTTGTGAAAACTGATCTAGCAGCAGTAGTGAATACTGATGATAAAAAAAAAAAAAAGTGATAATATTTCAAACACGTTTCGATAGACAAAAAAAAAAAAAAACAAAAATGTGAATAAATAATAATAAATGACTCGACGGCCCTGACCGCAATGTGACGGCGAGGTGAAATGGTACTATGCCCTATCTGCTAAACGCGTCACTACGTCCACGTTAGAATACGTACTCGCGTCGATAAACGGTAAAATATTATTGCCAGTTGTGCGTTTATTATTCGGGTAAAAAAGTATTCGGCGTTGTTACAATTATTTTACGTTCGCAAGGTCCTCCGGAAGATTATCTTGAACGTTTACTCGTTCGGAAGAATACCTTAAATGTTTACTCGTCCGGGTTCCGTTTTGTTCCGTCGTCTATTGGCTTATCTGTAAAATAAAATTGGTTACGCGACGAGGGCGAAAACAATGTGAAAACGTAATGGTGATCACGAACGATAAGGATTGCGGATAAAATCGTAACATTCGTTTTCAACATTTCCCCCGGTGTCGGGAAAAACGTGTGCGGTGATGATTTCTTTGAAAGAAAAATTCCACCGCTAACTTCGGTGCCGTATCTGCTTTGTCGTTGATCCCGACTCTCATTGATAAACCGACAAAAAAATATAACGTTTTTAATAGTATTTTTCAGTCGGTGTATATTACGTTTAATATAAATATATCGTTAAGATGTTGATCGATTGATTGAGTGGAATCAATGGCGTAGTTACCGCAGGAAAAACAGAAGCAACGGGGTTCAAATAATATGTGATAAATTGTATTCATCTATTTAATTATGATTTTAATATTATTATTAATTGTTAAATAAATGTTGAATGCGATATAAATGTGATTGGGTTAATCTTATAAAAAAAGACCATAAATTTGATCACAGCAATGTTTTAATGACAGAGGTTCTATTAGGTAAGACGAGAAATATATTTTGCCTAGTTGGATAGGTGGACCTAGACTGAGTAGAGGTAGCAATTGCTCGGAACAAAATGCGTAGTAGCGACCGGAGCCATGGGTTGTAGGCAATAAGCGTGCGCAGAGAATATTGGCAGGGTAATAATGCGTAACACATTAAAATTTAATATTAACAACAACATTTTGTTGGGACGGGGTAACATTTTCATTCAACTTAATAATTATATTTTTCCAGTATTCCTATACATATTCTTATCCGTTTGCGAACGTTTCGAAGTTATTGTGATTGCGATAGTATTGAATATTTTGGTGCTCAAAGTGCCTACCGCGTAGGAACGATTTAAAAGGTTTTTACAAAACGCGCGCACGATTTGAAACGCCCCGCGAGTAGTACTCGGAGCTTGTGCGTATACGCGAGTGGAAAAATAGAAAACCGAGAAAAAACACGTATACAATACGTGTAGTTATTTACACTGTATTGCACAGGTGTAGTTAACGACGCGATGTACACGTTTTCAACAAACAATCGCGGTTTTTTTCATATCAAACTTTATTGTACAGATTGATTACAGAATCGATCAACCTACCTACCTCCCGTAAGCTTATTCGGCTCGTGCTGGAGGTGGGAAGGTTATGATTACTATTAATTAATAATACTGTAAAGCACGAAGGTAAATATCAACACTCGGGAATCATAATCGAATAAATAGTTGATCGTAAATCAAACGAACGCAATAAATACCCCAAAAAAATAAATAAACTTATAAAGAATATGGTATGATGTTAAAACAATAAGTTTCGTCGTGAACCGCCGCCGTTCTCGCGACGCGTTGCAAAACGTCTAACGACTAACCGCGAACAATCGAAACACGATCATCTGCGACGTTAAAACCGGCAGCGGGTTCCGCGCAATTGTCGTTTGCTATCATTGTTATTATCGCATTGCCGCGGATACGTGTAATCGCGGTACGATGCTCGTGTGTTCGTGTACGCGCGTTTGAATGCATATCTATTGTTACAGTTAAACCGTCCGCGCGGGACTGCGTTCCGTAACGATGTCGCCCGTTCGCCGTCGATTTACGCGCACCTCGTCGTCGCGTTCAATCCGCCGTGTTCTACGCGCCGTCGTTCACGTCGTCGCGTTACTAGCCGCGTAGAGAAATCGTCTCCGTTCAACCTCGTTCGCGCGTCCCCCCCCCCC